AATCAAATATTCAGACATTGAATACAAGAACAGAAATGAAGATTTGTGAGATATATAACAATATGATTCTTTTCATCATTTCTATGACTTCTTAACCATCCCAGACATGTAAGCCAGTGCAATCCATGCTTCAACTATGCAAATCCAAAATGAAGAGGTACCTAATTGTTTCATCGGTGGCACAGAAATGTTGGGGAAAAAGATATGAAACAAAACTCAATAAAGACTTTCAAGCTCAAATTTCTCATCACACGAGTAAGCATAATGCAGTCTTTTGGCTTAAATTTCTTTCCAATTTTCATCCTAAAATTTCATAACAGATTAACATAAATTTAAGGGAAAATATTCCCCTTAGAGCCGCTACCAATCCTTTATTTCTTTATGTCGGATACCAAACCAGCATTCTGGCTGTTCTGAGTTAAGCCCTGAACTAGAAAAGCATGGAACTTTTCATTGCCTCAGTAAATAAAAGTTCTTTAATTTAAATAAAAAAGGAAAAACAAAACAAAAAGAAAAAGACTAAGGCATTTGAGCTAACAGACTGGGAAAGAGAACCCTGAGCCAAGAACTACCACAACATCAACAAAACCAAAAACAGAAAAGCATTAGAAGTAGATGGAAGGCTGAACTCACCATGTTAGGAGAAAAGGTTGGTCCAGCTTGTTAATAAGGTTGAGGATGATGTTGTCATTAGTGACCACATCAAGTCTAGGGCCAGGAAATTGACCATTGATAAGGATTACCTTCAAAACACCAAAAGACCCATTTTTTCAGAAAAATCTAGGATCTCCAAAAACAGAACAGACAGTGCAGAAATGGCAAAGACCACCAACCTGTTGAGGAACGCCAAGAGGAGAACGAGTCCCATAAGTCACAGTCCAAGTGTAAAACTTATATGGGTCTTCTGCTTTCACCATAGCAACACTGAAAACAGCCAAAACCCCACAAACCAAGTGGAGCAAGACTGCTTTTTTCTCCATTGTCGTCCCTGCAAAATGCAAATTCTCAAAACCGGGTATTTGGGTTTTGGGTTTAATTTAATCCCTTTTTCTTTTGGTCACATTGGACGATGTGGGTGCAGTAAGTGCCAGCCTTTTTATAGCAGCAGCGCGGGAAAGAGTGCTTCACCAAATATGTCCTACTTCTGCTTTTTCGAAAATAAAATCTGTTTTTAGTTTTATCCAGCCATCAATGTTCTCGTATTGGGTGCATAAACGCGTTTTCGCGTGATGATAATTCCCCATTACTTAGATTCGAAGCCAATTTGAACCACTCATACATGAGCTAAAGTGAAACTGCGTGTCACACTTTGTCCATAAACCGCCTCTAATTGCGCCAGTGATGTTGAAATTATATTACTTTTCCTCCTTTCGGTCTGTTTTAGTGTTTTTCTCTTTTAATTTTTTTTTTACTCTTCCCTTCATTGAACGTAGGGTTCTCTCATAAATATATGGATAATGAAACTCATCATGGGTAGTTCTATTTATGATCCCAACACATGCCTACAGTTAATGCGAAAGCACAATGCTTGTTTAACAAAGTAAATGCAACCGCACTTGTTTTTGTTTTGTTTGGTTCTGAAGGAAGCGAAACTAATTGGTGTCACATGCAGATCATATTGTTTCTGCCATTTTTCATTTCCCACAATTCTGCAACTTTGGAAATAGCTGTAGAGGAGAAATATATATATAATTTCAGGACCAAAAATGCCCTTTGGGGCTATCCACCAGCCACAAGGACAGAGAACCTCTTTGTGTTTCTTTTTTGGTGAATAATGCGGCAGCTGAAAGCCAATGAGTAATCTACACTAAAGGTTGTATTTTGTGATCAGTTATTCATGTTCATACGTGATTCCAATTAATCTTTGATTTAAGGTATTTGTCTTTATTTAGTTAAAAAATATCTCGTATTCAACTCAAATCGATGGTGATGAATTCAATAACTAGTTAGTTATGGCTAACTCTATTTTACTTGTATAGTCTTTGTTGTGAGTGTGTGGACCCTTTATAAAACTATCATGTAAATATTCACCCTTTTGTGAAAATAAATCATAAAAATCTACCTTCATGTGATATAAATTAAACACTTAATTACAATCATTCATATAGAATTAACAAACACATTAACAACTAATGTAATCATTTTGTCTCTGTGGACGACACAATTTAGGTAGGCAGACAATTTATATATCTGAGGCAGCAGCTGGATACTTGCCATCCGGATACCATTCAAGGTTTTCATGGGACTTGTCCTCTTCCTTCCTTTGCTCTTTCCAATATGGTATTATTATTTATTATGGCGGGCATGTGCATGACATATTTGAGTGCCGACTGAGACCAATACATACAGCTCATATATAACTGGGTTTTATAAGGTACAATTTAGTTCAGTTTAAATGGTGAATTGACTGTTGACTAAAGCCATGCATGGACGAATCAAATACAAGATTAGACCCACTGATGCTTAGTTTGTGAATCATGGTCTGACCTGCCGAGGTTGCAGCCTAATGATAATGCAGTGTAGGGTAGAACTTATGTGCATGTGCTGCATAGGATTCATATCCCACTTGCTCTCTTCCATCTCTCAAAAGCTTTGTAACTTTGTTAGACTCAGAATTTGGCAACTTGTAGGAAAGCAACTTGTAAATAAAGCACAAATCTTTGTAAGCCTGTTGGATTGGATTTGTTAATTCATATTTCATATACAATTGTTGATGACAGACATATAATTTGTTTCTATCATTTAGTTAGTTTAAGGCAATTTTGTTCTTCCTATCATTAAATTGGTGTGTATTAATTATAAAACATTGTCTTTGTTCTGTCACTGTTTATATATAGGATAAATTTATTGATAAGAAAATTATTAAGTAGAAGGATAGAATCATAATTTGACAGTGTTATGATAAAATAACAATTACTCATGCATCTGGTCTGCTGACTTTGATTATCTGTCCTTCAAATAAACTTTAGAGTGGAAAAGACTTAGAAATAGTGTGTGGGGGGGCCTCTAATCATGTCACCCATGTGGAGATTCAGTAATTGCATGGCCTGGATTTTTGACCTTTATACAATCCAAGTCGGTAGAAGGAACCAACTACCACAGGGTCCACACGCATTCGGCCGGGAACTGTATGATCTCATCGCCATAATCTTGCAAGTGAAAGTCGAGGTGCAACTGTTCATGTTCTTATTTATATGCTCTAAGCTTAGGATGGATGGGGTTGGATTATCATATCGGAGGAATTTGTTTGGTGCGTTATGAGTTAGGGTGGACATCCATCCGATCAAACCGCGACTAAATCGGTCTGTAATATGTGATTATTATTTTGTGCTACTAAAGATTATTGTCTAATTTGATATCGTTTTTTGTAAGTTACGCATGTTACAGGTTGTTGCTTATGAACCCTTCCATTTATATGCAATATCCGATCGGAGGGATAAAAGGAGAAGTAACAAATTCAGCATATTGCGTAAAAAACCCATAAAAGCATGAAGAATTGGTTGAGGCAATAAGTGAGACATTGTACATTATTATGAGGCTTCATCGTGATGGAATCAAAGTGTTGTAACTGTTGGGAACATCATGGACCCAAAAATAATTATGGAGCATAATCACTAGCGCTGGTAATAAAAGATAAAATAAATGCACAAGAGGATGGAAGAGGAAGCTAACTAGCTTTTGGACCTAACAAATCCTGGAAAAGCAAATCTGGTAAAGCCTATTCAGGTTATTTTCACTATCTTTCAGAAGTATCTGTAAAAGGGCAAATCTCGATACTATATATACTCAATATTGATCGGCATCACAATTTCATATTTCTCATTGCACTACGAAGGAAAATAAAACTTACCTCACGAAGAAACTGGTTCCTCCTATCTGAACCAGTTATGTTACCTCCTAGTGCCTTCACAAAAAGCCTAAATAATTCAGGATGGCCTTCATATGTAGCCCCAGTAATTATATTACCATCAACAACACACGCCAACAAGGTCTCGGGTTCCACCCAATAAGCACTTGCAGCAACAAGTACAGGTCTGACAGCCGGGAAGGCCGTACACTTCCTACCTTTAACCGAGCCTGCAGCTGCTAGGACAAGTTGCCCATGGCAAACCGAAGCAATTGGCTTTCAGGGAAGGCCGTACACTTCCTACCTTTAATCCATCATATTTGTTAAATTCAATGTCATATTGAGTGCGAAATTGTGACCACGTGATTCAGAATAAGTCTGCAACCAAAGAAAAAAAAATATAGAAAACCAAAAAACATATTAAAACAAAGGGGGCCCAGAAAGACATGTAGCATTTGAAGATCTGTAAATTAAACATAGATCACGATTCAGCAAACCTAGGTAGCCCATTATCAGATTATTTTCACTTAGAGACCTGGGCACTAATGCAATTTTGTTTATTGAAAATGGTGTACGCAGTGACGTTGGAGTACCTTTAACCGAGCCTGCAGCTGCTAGGACAAGTTGCCCATGGCAAACCGAAGCAATTGGCTTTCAGGAGTCAGAAAACTTTCTCACCAATTCTAAAACAGTAATTGGAATGAACTACCACAACCAAATAATGAGAGAACTTCAAAATACAACCAATCAAATTCTATGATGACAATTACCCAAATTGAAGTAAATAATTAAAGTTTCAGAATTCTAATAGTGTAACTAAAAAAGAAAATTATCGCTTTTCTTAAAAAAAGAGACATTACAATCATGAAGCATGAAACTTAAACTGAAAACAGAGCAGGAAAGAAAAAAATTGCAACCAAATGTTCCTACTGTAGGAAAAGGGACTAATATGGGCCTATAATTGGAAAAATGGAAATATTAGAAGCCTTTAATGCTTTTTATACAAAGAGAAAACATATATCACACAAAAACATTACCAAATTTCATACAGCAACTCTGTACTTAAACTAACTCTTTAACCAAAAAAGTAAAAGAAAAGAAAAAGTAGAGCTATACTAATTATTTCTCCAAATCTCAAAAAAGAATCATATTAGTAATGTATATACCTTAAATGCTTCACAGCTTTATCTCTTAATTGTTCCTCTCTGAAAAATATTGAGTTCATCCATTATGCACAACAAAATAGAACAGGATAGTATAAAGAACAAAAGTTCACAATTACAAAACTCCTTGATGTATTGAACTCCTTGCATCACTAAGTAAAACATGAGGAGACGTCCAAGATGGGTGTGAGGAAGATGGTGATGATGAGGACGTAGCTACCCTTTGCTAGTAATGTGAACTTCCTCATATCAACTTCAACAAATTTCCTATCAAATTGTTGTCACCATACAAAACTAATGTCAACTAATGAAAACAGGAATACTGGCTGAATTTATGTGCTATTGCCAAATTACATACCAAATGGATGCTTGTTAATAAACCAAAATTGAAGCTATTGGTCTGCAAAACAGATAAATAAGTGTAAACAAACAAAGGAAGGCATAGTCACCCAAAGACTCAATCTTTGGGTTCAAATACTGAAACAATTTATTCAACAGATAAAGATCATATAACTTGGATTAAATATCATCCAATTTGTTTCTTTCTTAGAAGATCTGCATTAGAAGGTCAGAGCGTTTTCAGTCAAAAGAAAAAGGAATTTCACAGAAAGTTGAAATAGAAGTAACTCAAAGAAAGCATTTTCTTCACCTAAATGCTTCTAACCCTTCAACTCCTCTGCCAAAAGAATCCCCTGAGAAAACAAAAGAAGAAGAAATCAAGGCTTAATCTGGACACAACTCTAAATAAATGAATTACTAAGAAAAAGCAAAGATGAAGAGGAGAGCACCGAAAAACTGCAAGCAACTAAAATGAACTGCTGATTATGAATATAACAAAGCTTCTTCAAGCAGACCCATCTAAGCTTATAATCTGCAGCGGAAAAGAGAATGAGAAGAACACCCAAGCATCCATCCCAGTACTCTTACATGGAAAAAAAAATGCATCATTCCGAATTCTGTAACAGAAATTGACACATTAAATCTAACACAAATAACATGTTGTCTAAAACTCAAACAAATTAATACAACACTCGAAAAGCAAAAATACCACTCGACATTCCAAATGTCATCCACGAATGGCACATAATAAACAAAATTATTCTACTTGTCTGACTCAATGTCAGTACACAATCAAAAACTGGAAGCAACGTGTTATTTGGAGTGTAACACCAAAAAAGTGGCCTGAAAACGGAGTCTCACTCCGTGGGTCATGATATCCAGATTCTTTGTGACAATTGCCATTTTCTGAATAAGCACTTGATGTAATCACAGAAATCCAACTCAAAGGTTGCAAAGATTCATGACCAATGATGTGCGATAACTGGTATAAAACTATGAATAGCACACGATAAACAACAGAAAGACGAAACCATGATACAATTAACACGGCTATTGCAAATTCAGAAAATCAACAACACAAAGAAAAATATTTGCACACCTATCAAACTGAATTTGGCAGGAAAATAGGAGGCAAATTCCCACCATAAAAGCTTGAAATACTTAGCCAAATAATTGGTAAGCAGAACAACGGCCATGTTGCATTACTTTCCAAAATGCCTATAGACCATTTACTATTCAAAACCAGATATTAAGAAACTGAAAAGGAAAATGCAGGGGCTGTATATCTCAGTAGCATACTAGCAAATCATGTTAATGAATCACAAAACTGCAACTCAATCAGCTTAATCAGCTAGTTTCCCCCCAGCATTCATGGGTAGAGAGAAATCTCACATACCTGTAATGCATCATGTATGCTGCTGCCACTGGTTTGACTCAAAAGGAAGCGGAGCGTGTGAGCCTTGGCTTGGCTATCTTCTTGTCCTCTTCAAAAGGGATTACTGAAAGATTGGCTGGGTTCTCGATCATCAGTTTAGCTACCAGATATCCTGAGATGCTCCAGGTCTGGTACTTCCTCGCTTGCTTCCCGATATATCTCCCTGCCTTGCCGTCATAGTATTCTGGCCACCCGTCTTTTGAGAGCCGCTGCTCCACCTGTTCAATTGCTCTCTTAGCAGTCTGAGGCCTCCCCGTCTTGATACATGCTGCAGTAAGCAACCACAGCAGTGCTACAAGACAGATGCAACAACATTAACCAATTGTTTTAGAACAAACACATAAGTCAGAATTCTGTGAACAAGCATCAAAATATCATGAATAGCACAAACATTTAGCACGCTTTCCCAAATTACATTCAGAAATGTATCCCACAACATTTACATACCCGAAGTGGTTACAATCAGCAAATAAAGACGTTTAAAATAAAAGATACTATGTCAGGTAAGTAGTGCTTGTAGCCTAGTTTACTAAATAAAAACAATAACTAGCC